GCCTAGTGATCAACTCTAATTAGTTTCATAAAACCTTATATTTGAACTGAAATGTTCATCTAATTACTACAGTAAACACATTAATTAAAAAGTATTCACTAGTCACATATTCATTTAGACATGACATGACTTTCTACACAACTATTAAAAATGAATAAAACTACTTATACGACATAATTCTTTTTACTTAATATGATAAAAGAAAAATTATGTGTATGCTTAATATATATAGTAGTTGATTTTCAAAGTTGTGTGATTAGTAAAGTAAACAAGATCGTATCGTGATACGTTCTACTAAAATCTCGAACGAAACGAATCGCTCGTGAGCTCGACTTGAGTTCCGCTTGGCTTGTTTGATAAACAATTTTAGCTCGAGCTCACTTAAAACTCGTTTCGTTAACGATTCGGGCTCGGCTAGCCCATAATGCTCAAAAAAATAATTTTTATATAAATTTTTATAATTCGACTCATTAAAACTTGGGATCGGCTCTTTTCAAGCTGAACTCGATTGACTCGTTAATATCGAAGAACAAGCTGAGTTTGAACTCGACTTCTGGCTCTTTTACTTGACGAGCCAGACTCCGCTCGTTAAAGGCTCGAGCTGAAACACCTTGAGCTCGAGTTCAATTCGGCTAGTTTGCAGGCCTAATTAGGTCAAATTGTATCTTATTTGCATAATTCTTGTAAATTTAAATTTGTGATTGAGTGACAATAAATAAAATAAAATAAATCACAAGTGGACAAAATAGATGTATTCCTTCAAATTTTCTCTCCCCCACTTGGAGTGGGCTGTGGCACAAATAAGTATTTCTTCCTATTTTTCTTAAATGTCATTCTAGCTTTTTTAACTATTTGCCAAATAAATATCATTTTGGATCTTTTGTACATATTTTTCCATTATTACCCTCACTTAGCCAATAAATACATTACGTCTTTTCATATTCACTCTTCACTTTTTCTCAAAACATTCATTTCTATCTTCATTAAATAATGTTATTATTGACAAAAAAAATATTCTTAATTAGTGTGCAACTTTTCTAAACGACATATATTAAAAATAGGAGGTAGTATAATATTGTACAGTGTATATAACACTCACATTGAGTGTGACCCCACCAAAAATAAAAAATCAAGTGAACCCCAATCTATGCAAGTGTTATGTACACCTTTATATGCATTATTATGTACTTGTAGCATTTTCCCGGAAATATAATAAAGGAAAGCCAACACCCACGCAACCGCCAAACACAAGTAGCTTTCTTGCTTTTAAGACCAAACTCCTCGAAAGTAACCTATTTTCCCTTCTCTCTCTCTCTCTCTTTCTCTCTCTCAAGAACACACACACACACACACAACCCACTTTGCCTTTCTCTCTCTCTCTCTCTCTCTTCACATTATTTTCTGCAATGGATACTGCTCAGTGGCCACAGGTAAAGTAGTAGTAAAGCTAAAAAAACATATAGCTAGCTTTTGTCTAATCTCTCCTTCTTATTCCCATAATATAATGATCACAACACCTTTCTTTGATGTTCTTTTTTGCTTTGGGTTTGTTAAAAGAAGAAGAAGAAGATGAAAACTCTTTGGCCCCTTTTTGCTTTGCTTTAATTTTTTTTTTTTTTTATATCTTTGATGACCATTGATGATCTAAAGGAAGGTGCTGATGAGTTTGATCTAATCAAAACCCCACTTTTTGGT